AAGAGGAAAATATAAGGGGAACGGTATTATCGAAAAAACGAACTACAAGAGGACTGGAGAGTGGACCAGTCATGGGGGCAAACTGGAAAGGGGACCAGTCGCTGCATGAAGGCTCCCAGAAACAACCACTAGATCATGGAATGTTAGGAACAATTGCCACCCAAATGGGCACAAAACCAAAGAGAAGAGAGAACACCCAAACGACTCAGTTCACGCTTCTCACACACACGGAGCAAAACACAAAAACAAAAACAAAAACAAACACAAAGAAGCAGCTGTCTAGTACAGCCTACTCATCGACCTCGATGTCGAAGTTGATGTCCGCCATGAAGCATTGGCTCCCTGCGGTGGTGGGGAATTTACCTACGGAGTCTGCCAAACTTGAGGCTCGCTCAGAGCCTGCTGAAACTCCTGCATCCGACGACTCCGGGCCTACTCGTGCTCGATACGGGCAAGGAGAACGATCCATGAATGCTCTCTCACACCCATACACCCACAACCCATCGATTAACCGTGTTATTAGTGTATGTTTATCTTTAATATTGAACACTTTGTATGGATAATTTGTGGGTTTGCTTGTATTGTATGTACTAGATTGTTATTTTTGTATGGATATGGGCAGATTGATGTTAGACTTTTATTTTGGTGAGAGATTGGTGTTATGCATTTTTGTCCATTAGAACCCATGGGTATCCATGAACCTACGGATACACAGTGGGTGAGTTGGCTTGGGTTTGAGGTTTCAAGAGCCATTGAGTTTTTTCCCTGTTATGCGGATATACCCGATTGATTGGGTTTGGATTTGGCAAAACCGACCCAACCTAACACATTGCTATGCCTAACTGTCACATAAGACAAAGTTGGCGGTGTTGGACGGTTACTCGTCAATTGTGAAATTAAAATGTAAAGTGAGTGACTACTAATGTCATTAAAATTGTTTTGTGGCTAATGTGAAAAAATAGTAAGTCTAGTGACTACTAATGTCATTAAAATTGTTTTGTGACGAAGTGTGCTATTTAGCTTTGATAGTGTATTGTGCACTCAATGACCCTCATATAATTTTGAAATAATGAATAATCTCAAAATAAAAGTTGTATTGTTCTTGAGTTCTATTATGAATATAGATGGAAGTTTATTGTACAAAGTAGGGGTAAAGTTTAGATAATTTACCCTTGATATATTTAAATTTTCACAAATTCTTTCATTCATCTTATCCAATTTATGAATTAATTTTCTCAAAACTTGACTCTGCTTCCCAAGAATTGACGGTTATTGAGTCTACACTCTACAAGAGTTATTTTAGAAGGCTGCATCGTGACATTGAAGGAAGGTGGATAATAAGACGCCAATTATACATGAAATAGTTTTGGGAGAAACAACAAGGTGAAACTCATTGGATAGAGAGAGTATAAGAAAAATTAGTATCTAACAACTAAGGGCTCGTTTTCTTGTTAGATTTGAAAATGAGGGCTTTGAGTGTTAGAAATCATTGGATTTATGATGGATTTATTGCATTATCAATTGGGAAGAGTACATTGTTTGTTTAGTTAATTTTTATCATGAATTTATAATGGATTTGTTTCACATTTTTTACTTCAAGTATCAAATCCCCAAATGAAATGTGGGATTTAAAATCCGTGGTGTCCATAGATTTGAATTGAAAAAATGAGTCCAAATATGTGGGTCCCTTAGAGCACATCGTCTGTCTCTTCCCCATCATAGTGAGGTAGTAGTGTCATTTGTCATTTTATTGTTGTAGTCAATAGTTTGAAATATTTCATAGAATGAAATCCAAAATGAAATTGCTAGTGGGTCATGTTCCTATGTTTTGACTTTCCTTTTCGTTTTTTTATTAGTAAAATTATGTGGGTTAATTGATTAGTTATATTAAAAAGGTGAGCTGGGCCCACCATATATAATAAAAGGTGTATTACATTGTTGTAAAGTAAATGAAATAAATAGATAGTAAATTGGTAAAAGTTGATGATGTGGCAGTAGGAGCCACATATGAAATAGAAATCCTATTTCATAGATGTAGATGGTCTTAGCAAACATTAAATTTGTGTCAAGTCCTTAACGCTTGGGATTTGGGTGCCAAATCCCACAAACAAACAAACGACACTTAGAGGTCGTTTGGCTGTGGTAATTGACACTTGGAGATTATTAACATTTCTATGTTTGGCTAGGTCTTTTGAGTGTGGGATTGAGGAAGTGGTTTTTGTGGTGCTAAACAAACAAATACCAAACTGTCTCTTGTGGAAGGATATATTAGGTACCTCTTGTGTCCATTATTCCGGGTTCTTCTTCTTTCCTCCTCCCCTCCTAAAGTTCATCTTCTTTCAAAGCTTCTCACAGTAAAGGCTTCCTCCTCGTAGAAAAGTGAAGGCAAATCTCATGGCGTCTACAAATAGAAGGAAGGAGAAGATTTGCGGCTGTGGGTTCATAGTTGCAGTTCGGGTTTCGCACACCCAAAAAAACCCAAATTGCAAATTCTACTCTTGCCCACTCTTCCCATCAAAGGTTAGTACTGGTTTTATTGAAGGTAGATGACAAAGTATAATTGTGTTTCAATTTTCTGCTTATTCAATCTTGTTTTCTAGAATTAAGTCAGAACTGGTTGTGTGCGTGAGGAAGAAGGATAACGTGTAAAGTGATGTATAAAAGACAAGAGAGACAAGTTTGGATTTCCCATAAAATAACATAGATAGAAATGGAACCAAAAGCGGTTTTCCAATTTCCACACATGTGGGAATGTGACAAAATTCCTTGGGCCCAATTTCCACATACTTTTAGGCCATCCAAACATGAAATTTTAGCATGAATATTGCATTCTATGGTAATTTGGCCTAATTCCCACACTCAATTACTACATCCAAATGACCTCTTAATGTCCGAGCTAATTTCTAAAGCATATTAAACACATAACATATATACAATATGTCTTTGAAAGTAAAGACATTTGTCTCTAAAAGCACCTTATACAATATTGATATGCATCGAGAACCCTTCTCTTCAACTTCTTAGCTAAAAACTACATTTGACGTGATAGGTGATTGTATAAACAATAACATCTAATTACGTGCTAATCCACGTACATTGGTTTTCCCCCTTAAATTGATGTACATAATTTACAAATAATATTCTTCATCTGGTAAGTGGTAACAATCTTGCTCTAAGAGTATCTCATGTTTCGTATTTTATTTTCGGATTAATTGCATGGTTGGTCACTGAGATTATAAAAAACGTTTAAATTTGATCATTCGAAATATTTAAATCCATTGATGGTACTTCAATTTACTGAAACCGTTCACGTTTGGTCACTCTCCGTCCAACTCAGTTAACTTTTGCTTATGTGGCAGTCAACTCTAAAAGTTGACCGTTAAATGTGTGATGTGACAATTTTAAAATAATAAAATTAAATTTTTTAAAATTGCCATCTCATTTCCACCTTATGATCACTTTTATTTAAAAGAAATAAAAAACCCTAATTTCTTGGAAAATGACACAAATATTGTTTTTTTTTTAAATTACCACTAATATTGCGGATTAAAAAGTATTGACACAGATATTGTGTTTTTGTGTAAAGATGGACGCGGGGCCATCTGAGACTGAGGCGGGGCCGCGATTTTAGATTTTAAACCCAGTCCGAGGCGCTGGCGCCCGAGACTAAGGCGCCCCCGCCATGAGCCCTTTTATTTTAAATGCGGGATAAGATAAGAATCTTATCTTCTTCTTCCTCCTCCTCCACACCACAACCCCCCCCCCCCCCCCCCCCCCCCCCCCCAAACCCTCTCCCGAACTAGAGTCGCCGTCCACGTAGCCTCCGCCAATCACAAACGCCGTCGCCGAAGACTCTGGCGCCACCGCTTAAGAGCCAAGCGCCGCCGCCGCAGAGCCAGGCACCATCGCAGTTGACAGAAGCGCCACCGCCCGACGGAGATGTCGTCCGACGAAGACGAGCCACTCGCCGGCAGAGGCAGGGGGAGAGGCCGGCGAGGTCGTGGAGTCGGCGGCCGTTTTCGCAGTGAATGTCTCGCCGGCGGCGGGGTTTTTATTTTTTAATTAATGTTAAGTGTTTTTTTAATTAATGTTTTTGTTTCTTTGTTTTTGCAGTTCCTAGGCTTATGGACCCTTATTCGATGAGACTACCCCCAGTGACAATTAATCCAGCTCCAGTCGATCCGATACTTCTTTGGGAACATGGCCAACATCGTATGACTATGTTTGGGCAAACGAGGTAAGTATTTGATAATTATTCATGTAAAGTTATTAATTAGATAATTAGATTATTTTGGTTGGTGAACTGAACTGTACTGAAATTAGAATAGGATTGCGATCCAATTTTTTTGAAATTAGTATAATTTGATATTAGATTAGATAGATTAGAATTTATTAGGTGAAAATTAGAATTATTACTAATGAAATTGAATTAATATAAGTTTTGTGCACTATAGGCTGGTGATCGATCTTACCATATTCGAGGTACGACCAATTTAGTGATGTACCATGAGCTTAAAATCTAAAATCAGGATAGACCAACGACGCCTACCATTGTAGTTATCATGTGCTAAACTCCAAAGAATCTGATGTTGATCCACCCAGTTATCACATGAAATATTTCTATCAGCGACCACCTTCTTAAATTGCTCAACTTGACGATCAAACTTCTCCAACCGTTTTTCTCCGGCTAACAAAATAAACAACCACACGGGTTAGATAAATTAATGACAAAATTACATGAAAATAAATAATAAAATTAAATGAAGAAGGCTTACCGACTCGAAATAGTTGCTTATACATAATTCTGCTTTTAGTCTTCCTTTGCAAATTGCTTGCATAGTGTCGCATGCACCACCTCCACTCCCAACCTCTTCCGATGTTATTCATGGCTTCATAGAGTCCTGCATGTCTATCTGAGATGATGCATACATCATTTCGATCAGTCAAACCCTTAACGTTCCTCATGAACCATGGCCAACTCTCAGTATTCTCGCTCTCCACTATGGCAAATGCAATTGAAAAAATCTTCTTCCGACCATCAAATGAGCTCGCCATGAGTAGCACTCCTTTATACTTCCAAGTAAGAAATGTTCCATCAACAACCATGACGCCTTGAAATTCTTGAATCCATCTATACAAGGTCCATAAGCCCAGAATACTGGCTGAAATATCGAATGACCTGGTTGAGTCGAAGGAACTCTTACCCAATCAATCACCAATGTTGGAATTTTTCTTTTAACCACCAGCAAGAATGTTTGCAAAAAATCATAGGATTCTTCCCAATTTCCATGCAACTTCTCCAATGCTCTTTGTTTCCCATACCAAGCCTTCTTGTAAGTAACTTGCATATTAAACTTATCTTTCAACTCGACCTGCACAGTTAGAACACTCAGATTTGGTTGGGCACGTACCAAATGTTTGACGGCCTCAGATATCATGTCGACATCAAGATGGCGATGATCTATCGGTTGAGTCGTACTGCTACAAGAATGCACCAACTCAACCTTTCTCACAGTCCATTCGCCTCCAACATCTCGACATCCAAACCGCACCATCCAAGGACAATTGTCATCCTTGTGCCTTAAGCATCTGACCTTCCAGATTGAAGGTGACGACTCCACCACGCCATATTGAAAGTTGCGTTGTAGTGCGTGGTGTTTAATCGCCATATGTGCAGCTTGTTTCGAGTGAAATATCTGCCCCTTGTAGAATTCTCCTTCAAAACTATCAACAATAGGCATTGGAATTACGCCATATGAATCAGCAAGTGATAATTCTTCGTCCTCTTCATTACCCTGCAAGTAAAAATATGGAGGATAATTAGGCTGCTCTCCTTCTCCTTCTCCTTCTCCTTCTCCTTCTCCTTCTTCTTCTTCTTCTTCTTCTTCTTCTTCTTCTTCTTCTTCTTCTTCTTCTTCTTCTTCTTCTTCTTCCTCCTCCTCCTCCTCCTCCTCCTCCTCCTCATCTTCCTCCTCTCTGTCATAATAGTCATGATCGGATGGCACGCTCCATGTATCGTCTTCTTCCTCTCCACCCTGATACTCACTGAGCCCAACATGTACTCAACACCCAAACAATAAGGATTTTGTGCCATAAAATTCCAAAGCACATTCAAGCTATCATCATCCACAATAGGCATCGCATAATGAAATAAAACACCATTCTGCCATTCTGGAAGACGGTAAGTGAAACCTGTGATCACATCACTATCTTGTACTGCTTCATCTCTACGCCGTATCCTCGGAATTAGATTCTCACAAAGTTTTTGATATGTGACCCTGGATGGAACCGTCAACTGAAAACTACTACCACCAACGAATTTGACGCCCAAATTATCCTCTACTTTCTCCGATTTCCATCGAACGACTAGTTCAAATCTTACAAAATCACTAAAAAAACAAACTCACTAATTAAAACTAAACACAATCATAATAGCATTTGAATAATACAATTACAAAAATAAATGTGTCTCTTACCTATTAGCCATTTTTGCAGCAGCAACCAGAGCTCTCTCTCTTCTATCTTGGATGATTTTTATTGTGGTGTGAAACTGAAACGAAATTGGCTGGTTTTTATTAGGGGGGGGGGGGGGGGGGGGTAGCCAGCGGTGCCACCTTAGTCTTGGGCGCCACCACCTGGGATAATTTCCCACCAACTCACCTATGTCTCAGGCGGTGCCACCTGAGTCTTGGGCGCCGCCGCTGTCACATTAATAAAACGATCCAAAAAGCCAGCAAAAGCGGCAATGCCTGAGTCTCAGGTGGTCTCGCCGATTCTTTTCTCCAAAACACAATATCTGTGTCAATACTTTTTAATCCGCCATATTTGGTGGTAAATTTTTAAAAAAACAATATTTGTGTCATTGTTCCTAATTTCTTCTAATCCCCAATACCAATACCCCGTCGTCGATGCCGCTTCTCATACTCCTGACAATAGAGAGACGGAAACAGAGCATGAAATCTCTTCCGCACTCCGATCCGAGAAGCTTCACCTGGCAGGTGAAAATCCACTGCCAGTACTGCACCGACAACACTCCGATCTCCCGGCTCGGGTCCATAGGAGCTGGCTCTTTTTCCCCTGGCACCAGATGTTACTCTACTTCCACGAGAGGATCCTTGGGAGCCTGATCAACGATGAGACCTTCGCGTTGCCGTTTTGGGGTTGGGATTCGCCTAATGAGATGACCCTGCCGGAGATCTACCTAACCGGGTCGTTCAATGACCACCACCGCGGCCCGACCCATTACCCACCCACCGTGGCATATATGAACTTCCAGAGGCTGGATCCAACCAGATCTACCCCAGAGGAGTAGATTCGGCTCAATTTGGCCCTGATGTACAACCACATGGTCTCCGAGGCCAAGACGTCGGAGCTCTTCATGGACTTCCCTTTCAAAACAGGGGAGTACGAGGAATGTCCCGGGTCGATTAAGTGGGCGCCGCACAACTCGCTCGACACCTGGCTCGGGTCGCCGGAGATCGACGGGAGGGAAGACATGGGCGCCTTCTACGCGACAGTGAGAGATCCAATCTTCTACGCCCACCACTCCAACGTTGACCGCTTCTGGGGATTGTGGAGCGCGACCCACAAGGATTTTGACGTCAACAGGAAGAAGGGCTGTTTCTTCTCTGTTTCCGTCTCTCTGTTGCCGGGGGTATGAGAAGCGGCAACGACGGCGGATATTGGTATTGGGGATTAGAAGAACTTAGGGGTTTTTATTTATTTTAAATAAAAGTGATCATGAGGTGGAAATGAGATGACAATTTTAAAGATTTAATTTTAATAATATTATTATTTTTAAATTGCCACGTCACACATTTAACGGTTAACTTTTAGAGTTGTCCGCCACGTAAGCAAAAGTTAACGGAGTTGGACGGAGAGTGACCAAACGTGAACGATTTTAGTAAATTTAAATATCACCAATAAATTTAAATATTTCAAGTGAACAAACATTTTTTGTGATTGACCAACCATGCAATTAACCCTTAATTTTCGTTACTGGCTTTACCATATTTGTACCCGATATTGTACTTTCATTCTTTGTTGCTACTACAAACGAATGGACCAAATTTAACTAATTTTTGATTCAGGGGCTTAAATGATAACAACATGCATTTTGAAATATTATTTTTCAGATGAACCATGATTTTTTTGGCATTTTGCTTAGATTTGGATTTAGCAAAATCAAAAGAGGTAAAGTAAAGGGGAGGAAAAACGAAAATTGCAGCGCGAGTCTGTTATATTTCCCACTCCAAAAAGACACACAAGAATCACAAGAGACAACTCTCTCTCCCTCTCTTTCTCTGGTTCTCTTTACATTTCCAGAAGAGAAAGGAGGAAGAACGCAAAATCAAAATTCAAAACCCTCGAGATTTCACCCCCAGCCCTCACTCTTTCTCTATAACCACGCCAACCCATTTCCTTTTGTAATACACTCTGCTCTCCAAGAGCTCAGAAATCCAATAAATCAGCGATCTCGAGACACAAAAGTTCTGTTTTTTATTTGTCCCTTTGCCCTTTCCGTTGATGGCGGTTTCCGTTTCAGTTTTCACTCTGAGGGGGCGTTAAGTTCCGTTGACTTCCCAGGTGAAAATTCTCCGTTTCCTCTGCGAATCTCGGAGGAGTTTGCATTTCATAGTGAGCTCCAACACTGGTTAGACAATTTGATTTGAAGGGTTTTGCTTTTGCGCTCAGTAGGGTTTTTATTTATTTATTCAATGGCCTGGAAGATTTAATCGAGGAGGCGATGAGTTGAAGAAACGAGAGAGTCAAGGTCGGTGAAACTCGGAAGATGATGTTGTTGTTCAAATCGAGGATAAAATGGATAGTTCTATTGGTCTTGATGCTATCGACTGGATCCCTAGTCGTTCACCTCTCTATTACCAAGTTCTCCGCCACTAATTTGATTCAGTACACTGCTGTCCCTGCTCTCAGCTTCGACTTGCCTTCCACTTCCCCTGGATCAAAGGTCCTCCTTTTGTTTCAACTCCTTAACCCTTCGCATTCTCTGCATTGCCATTGCATGGGTTGTATTCATTGTTTGATTGGGATTTCCCCTTTTTGGGTGGTGTTTGTTGCAGAGAGTTATAACGGCTAGAAACAAGAAATTGTGGGGTCCTGTTAAGGCCTTGGAGTCCTTGCAGCCTTATGCTAACCCGAGAACGACTTACCCTGGTAATGTCTTTTGCTCTAGCTCGCTCAGTTTATACTTGAGCTGCTTCTTGCTTTACTGTCAATTGTTTATTCCGATGGTTTTTAGGGACTGGTCGAACTACTTCTACCAGCTTTAGGCACCTGCTCTAGCTCAAATATATGAATCAGGAAGAAAAATCTGATATTTGCTTTGTTTAACTTGATTTCAAATGGCTGGGCTTTGTATTGGTATAGACAGTTGCGAAACTATCAATGTAGAATGTTAGTTCTGGGAATAATGTGGCTGGTGGCATTACTCTATGTCTTTGGGATCTATTTCATTGGATTGATGATAAAAATAATTGTTTTTCTTTTGCAGTCCCAAGTGAGAAGAGCAATGGTTATATATATGCAAAGGTTTATGGTGGCTTTTCAAAGATAAGATCTTCGGTATGATTCATATGATGATTATTGCTGGCCTTTTTTTAAGGAATTTTTTTTGGAAGTTCATAACTTTTCTCTCAATTTTATAGATATGTGATCTTGTCACCATATCCAGGCTTCTAAATGCTACTCTTGTCATTCCAGAGATTCAAGATAGTCTCCGCTCCAAAGGCATTAGGTATTGTTGGTGTAGCTGATTTCATACAAATTCCCCCATGCATTCAAAGCTAAATTGTCTTCCGTCTTTCTTTATAACTTTTTATTTGCTGATCCTCTTGCAGTTCCAAATTCAAGAGCTTTTCTTATCTCTACGATGAGGACCAATTCATAGCTTCACTTAAAAATGACGTGAGAATCGTGAAGACATTGCCTGAGAATTTGAAGGCAGCCAGAAAAAGAAATGAGTTTCCTATCTTTAAGCCCAAAAGTTCTGCTACTCCAAGTTTCTATATCAAAGAAATTTTGCCCAAATTGAAGAAATCGAAGGTTGTTGGCCTGATTCTTGCTGATGGAGGCTGTGTGCAGGTAGTTACACTTCTTGCCAGTCAGTTGTTTAGAGAGCATGAACCTTTATGTCAGGCCATCTGCTACCTACGATTCTAGTACTGAGATTGATTGGCCTGTTTTCTTTTATAACCATTTTCCTGGTTTTGTAATTCACGAATTGTTTAGTTACACTATGGTAATGCTTGCATGCTTGCTTAGTGGTAACACTAGAGGCCGGTTATTGTCAAGGTGACGTCTTGAAAGATTTGAAGCTTATTACAGTTTGATTAAATTTGCAATGGGGGAAAAATGGATTGCCCTTTGTATTTGTGCTGATTTGTCCTTTGCAATTGATCTTTGTTCAGTCAGTTCTTCCTCCCAGTATGGCCGAGTTCCAGCGACTGAGATGTAGAGTTGCCTTTCATGCTCTTCAATTCCGCCAAGAACTCAAAGTTCTTGGACGTCGTATTGTTGAGAGGTATAGTTTTCTCTGTGCTTCTCTCTCCCTGCTAAAATCATCAGTTTAGCAGACATTGACAGATTTAATAGTGTGTACTGTGATTTAAATTGCTACTGGAGAGAATTTATAAAAATGATTTATGCTGAACATGAGTTCTTGGTTTGAAAAAAGCAGTCTGCAAATGCCATAATTGTTCTGATAGATATAGAAAAATCAAAAGGAACCTTTCTGTATGCCAACTTGTGTTTGGGACGTTAAATTCCTCAATAGATTAGGAAAATGTTTTTGCAGTACTCTTTCTTTGTATAAGCTTGTCGGTTTCTTTCCCGCAGATTGCAAGGATGGGATCAGCCTTACATCGCATATCATCCTGGCTTAATGAGGGATACCCTGGCTTATCATGGTTGCGCAGAACTTTTCCAGGCTAGTTGCTCTCCTTACTCTAAATTACTTTGCCATCTGGGTTTTCGTCTTCTGTATGGCTTACTGGGTTTGAAATAGTAACATTCACAGGCAGCATACCCGTTCAACAGCGAATAGGTCTGATATCCAATATATTTAGTCTTCCTCGAACTTCACTCATTTTCTTTATTGGACTGTTCACATATTATAGGACGTGCACACTGAACTTATACAATATCGAAGGGCACAGATGATCAAGAGAGGGGTGCTTGCTGACAAGCTAAGTGTTGACTCTCACATACGGAGAGACAATGGCTCATGCCCACTCATGCCTGAAGAGGTAAGTGATTGGTTTTACATGTTCACTTCTCTATATTGGTTAAGAGTCTGGATAAAACTTGCCAATAAAAGAAAATGCAGACAGACTTATCAAAATACTTGTTAAAAAATATAGCATATTACAGATGGAGTTGGCATAGTTTCTTGCCTCTGAAGGCTGACTTGATTTGAACTAAACATTTTATTGGAGGCTTACTTGTTTTTGAATATCAAGAACTTTTGCTTTATTCTTTAAATTGCCAATGAAGGGCAACTCTTTTACATCCCTGTATATTTTATCTTATGAGTGTCCTCACCTGAATTTAGTTATTTGTCCTTTGTGACCTCTGCAGGTTGGACTTCTCCTTCGAGCAATGGGCTATCGTGCTAATACAATTATTTATATGGCTGGTTCTGAAACTTTTGGTGGCCAACGTCTTTTGATCCCTCTGCGTGCAATGTTTGCAAACTTGGTGGACTCCACCTCATTTTGCAGCAAGCAAGAGTTGACGGATTTGATTGGTCCTGAACCTCTATTGCCTCCAAATCCTTTTAAACTGCCTCCTGGTAAGAGTGATGAACAGCTTAAAGAAGAGTGGAAAAGAGCTGGTCCTAGACCTCGACCTTTGCCTCCACCTCCAGAGAGGCCGATCTATCAGCATGAAAAAGAAGGTTGGTATGGCTGGATAACCGAAACAGATACTGAACCAGATCCTTCACCGGCGGATCTTAGGATGCAAGCCCACAAGCTGCTATGGGATGCTCTTGATTACATTGTATCTTTGGAAGCTGATGTTTTCTTCCCTGGTTTCAACAATGATGGTAGTGGATGGCCTGATTTCTCAAGCCTTGTCATGGGGCAGCGGCTTTATGAGAGGGCTTCCTCCAGAACATTTCGACCAGATAGGTAAGCAAGCCACAGTTCTTGTCAGCATCTGTAATTCTGCCACATGCTTAATGAACTGTTTTGTATCTCATTTGATATGCGTTGTGAAACGAGGCATGACATTTGAATGCTTGTTATTGCTTTTTCTCTCTTGGTTGAATTTCCTTTGATCAATACTACTTAATAGTATTGGCTATTACTGACAGCTTCTGTAATTATCCTCCCACAGGAAAACTATCCAGGAATATTTCAAATCCATTCGAGACGATATGTACCATCCTAAGTTCAACTGGACGATTTCAATGAGGGAACATCTTAACAACAGCTTTGGTGAAGATGGGTTTGCCTGGCAGTCTCTTAAGTCGAAACCCGCTTCATTCCTTTCCCACCCATTCCCAGAATGCTCTTGTAGAATGCCCCCTTCAGCTGCTGCTGCTGAGGTCCCAACCATATTGATAAAAGACGAGGATGAGTGTCCGAAATGGATGATGCAGAACAACAATCAAGATGAATCTTCTGAGAGTATAGTAGGAGCGGCTTCCAATGAAGATACCGAGTCAGAGTATGAAAATGAGACGAAGGAAGCACAAGAGGACTCGGATGCTAGTAGTAAGAGTAGTCTAACTCTAGCTATTAACCAAGATGATGAATGGGATCCTAATGACTAGAAGGCGGAGACAGCAGAAAACTACGTTCTTTGATTTGTTTTGAAGGTGATGGTGGTCAGTACTCGGTGGTCACTTTCCGGCGGCAGAATCCCTTCTGGAATGGGAATTTTGAGGACATACAGAGAGCTATTAGCTATATATACACGAAGGGTCTTTTTTTTTGGGTTTATTCTCTTTGTCTCGTGGAGAATAAGTATTCATTTTTTGTTCTGTAAGTAGATTGAAGTAAAGGGAAGACAGAGCTCTAGTCCTAGTCACAGGAGGGGAAGAGAGAAAACTGAAAAGGAAAGAAATTATTGTATACCATTCATATAGAGAAGAGTTCTTTGCACATTACAGATTTGTGGACATATGTTGATTCTTATGCTATATACGGAGCTTTACCTTTTTCCTTACAGAACTGCAGCTTATCTCATTATAGAGGGTCAAGAAGAAGGTGGAAATGTTGCGGTTTTCCTTGCAAAACTGCAAATTCTCTCATTACTAACTGTCCTGAACAGGTTGAGGCAGAGGAAAGACCCATGCTCCCATTTCACTCTACTAGTGTAAACTGAGTTGGAGCAGGTTTAGGTGATGGAGTAAGGGAAGTGGAGGTACAGGAAAGACCTATGCCCTCATCTCTAATACTCTGCGTCTGCGCAAAACAGGTTCGAGCAGGTTAAGGTGATCGAGTAAAACGGAAAATTATCATCTCCCAACCCCACGGTAGTAGTTTTGGTGAATTCCAATTGCAAATGCTTGAAACAACAGTACCGTCAAGCCATAGGATAAGTACATCTGGCCAAATGACAGGCTATTGTATACTTAAAGACTACCATTTTATCCGCATTGTTGGCTCTTATGCCAGCATTCAGATTCAACTCAACGTTCAAAATTATGCTGCAACTTGGCACACGACACACTACCAACCAACATGGAGCGACTATAAATTCCCCACAAGGCCAAAGTTATATTTCATCTAAAAATTACATTCCCACAACAATCAGCAATGGCTTCATTGGCAGTGGGGAACAAGCTGATGTTGATGGTGGTGTTGCTGTTGGGGATCTATGCCTATGGAGGCTTCTCTGCCAGATCTCCGTTGCCTCATCGATTTACTAGCATTGGAGAAAGATTTGAAGCATGGATTGCTGCGCAAGGACGAGTTTATGCAGACGCCGGAGAGAAGGCAAGGCGCTTCAGCATCTTCAAAAAGAATGTGGCCTTTATTAACCACTCCAACAAGTTTGGGAGCAAGACTTACAAGTTAGCCATCAATCAATATGCTGACTTGACCAACAAGGAATTCAGGGCTGCGAAAACCGGGTTCAAGAAACCTGCGAATCGCATTAACTCCGGACCTTCCTCATTCAGATATGGAAATGTGAGCTCCCTGCCAGACACCATGGACTGGAGAACCAGTGGAGCTGTGAATCCAATCAAAGATCAAGGCCAATGTGGTAAGCCTCACAACAAATATAAATTTCAAACCTTTTTTCCTCCCCACTTTTCCTTTCATCAAATGTCCACTTCTTTTAATGAATTTTCTCCAAATGCAACTTGCAGGAGGGTGCTGGGCATTCTCTGCTGTGGCGGCAGTGGAAGGAATCACAAAGATCTCAACTGGAAAGTTGGTATCTCTATCGGAGCAAGAATTGATCGATTGTGACAACACCGGTAACGACCAAGGCTGCAATGGAGGACTCATGGATGGTGCTTTCCAATTTGTGAAAGCCAAGGGACTCACCACCGAATCCAACTACCCTTACACAGCAGCGGATGGAACTTGCAGCGCAACCAAGACGACCTCTCCTGCAACCAAGATCAGCGGCTACGAAGACGTGCCTGCCAACGACGAGCAGGCATTGCTCAAGGCCGCGGCAAACCAACCTATCTCTGTCGCGATCGATGCCAGTGGCTCAGCCTTCCAGTTCTACTCGAGCGGAGTGTTCACTGGAGAATGTGGAACGAATTTGGATCATGGTGTAGCTGTTGTAGGGTATGGCACCAGTGATGGTGGTATCAAGTACTGGCTGGTGAGGAATTCATGGGGGACTAGCTGGGGAGAACAAGGTTACATCAAAATGCAGCGTGACGTTGGTCCCAAACAAGGTATGTGCGGCATTGCCATGTCGGCTTCCTATCCTACTGCATAGAACAAAAGAAACCAGCTGAAGGGATATCCTGTCATTCTGGAAAAGAAAGGTGTTGGTAACCTAAGAAAGGTGTCTTTTATGCTATATTTGCCATGATTTTATTTGTATAAGCATTTGTAGATGCCATGTTTGAATATGTATCTTGTTAAGAACTCTTCACTGAAATGACAACAAAGGAGATACTACTGTTACTTTGATTTCTATTACATTCTGTTATGGACTGTACACTATCAAGTGAGTATGCTATTCCATAAGGTATGAAATGAACCAAAATGACTCATAAGGATCAATATTTTATGAAAATGTGACAAAATGTCGCTAAAAAAGGATAGGAAAGACACTATGTATTATAATTAATCACCTAAGGTTTACAATTCATTTATGATTTACTTGTTAGCGACCCTTTTTCACAAATGTTAGCGCTTTTGATACCTAACTAGAAAATTAGCCCGCGCTTTACAACGGGTTATTGAAAATAAATGAATTGACGGTTCGAAAGAATTAATTAATTAAAAGTACAAGTTTAGCTTTAATGCTTTCACTGTTGCATACGACAAATCCAGGTAAATTTTAAAACGAATGTCACTGTTCACATAGTATTTATATGTTGCGGGCGGATGTACAATAAGAAACAAAAACTTCATGGATCAATTATTTCCGGCAGGATTGTAGTCCTTCCTATTCACTTATTTATGGATGTTCTTCGTCATAACATACTCCATCCAAAATTTTCAGCTTTGTGAGTGATTTTAGGATGGATATTTTTGTAATTTGAATGATTTAAAAAGGACATTGTTATTTATCGCTCTAAAATTTCTTATTCGTCGCCCTATTTAAATTTAATTTATTTTAATGTCTTTATTTCATTTATTTGTCTTTCAAATAGCCCATACATTGACCACAATATGAGTCCCTTCAGGGACCAAGTAATTCATCACCTTGCAAGTGTCCAGCGCTCGATGAGGCAGCACCAGTGGCGTCGGAGGGTGTAGCCTCAGCGTCTCCTTGACAATTGCGCTCAAGTATGGAAGTTGAGCCACCGCAGATTCGTCGATCAACGGTTTCCCATCTAGCGGTGATGACAATTTTGTCTTCAACTCATACCGTAACTTGTCCATAGCTCCCCTATTTCGAATTAGCTCTCCCATTGCCCATTCTATTGTAGCCACGCTAGCATCCTTACCGGCCGAGAACAATTCCTGCAACAAAACCAGTGGAAAAGCAAAACTCCGAATTGTAGTGTAATTAATCCTTCTTACAATAGGCGGAAAAGAAGCAGGATTCGCAACTAGCTCCTTTGCAAAGCTAAGCTCAAGATATTTTTTGTGTGTGTAAACTAGAAAATCGGATTGATTTTTTCCTTATGAACTTACGAGACTCAGCCAGTCAATCTGGTCATCATCGAGTCCATTTTCAAGGAAAATATTCAAGAAGTCTTCAGCACCACCAGGTCGCTCTTCTTGAAAGTCCTAATCCACAATTCTAGATTCTCTACCTTGGCCTACAAATTCTAGTATATCTTAAATTGAATTGAATGTCTTTAGGAATATGAGAAGAACAAACTAAAAGTACCAAATGTATGATTCAAGTTCAGATTAAACTGCATGGCTATTGTTCTCTACTAACTCTCCCTTATTTATGACAATCCTTCAATTGAAAGAACAAACTAAAAGTACCAAATGTCTGATTCAAGTTCAGATCTTTTAATTACGGTCACAAATCCACTAAATAATAAATCAAAACCCACCAACGAAACGTTGACTGGCGAACAATCCACCGGTGGCTGCAAAATCTCCCTTCCTCATTTCTGGATCTCTACATTATGGCAAGCAGTAGAGTCAACTTTCTTATCAACCAAATCCTTCAAGAACCAATTCCCAACAAAGCGAAGAATCGACCCCTTACTGCGAAGTTACCGTTCTCCATATGGTTGATGTACATATGACCAAGACAATGCACCTGGTTTAATAGATCTGCTGCAATTTCAGAAGCCCCAAGCTTGACACTTTTCATGATTCTTACAAAACCACCAAATACCCACTGGAAGAGCAGCAGATAAACTATACAGATCACTTATTTGAGAGGTTATCACTTATCAAGCACAAATAGGAACAATGTGGTGGCTTATGGCTGGATCGTATCACTGTAGTTTGGAACAAATTAAGGCAGATAATTGACTCACTGGATGATAAACAAACGTGAAGTCATGTCTTGTGTCAGTGAAAGCTGTTTGTATCAAAGTTCATCTCTTACCGCGCGCTCGTGAACATCACCAATAAATGAATCAGCCATATGAAAGATTGAAAACTTATGATTTTGTAGCTGTTTCATGTAAACACCAATTAGGAGTTGCTGACAATTTCTATATAATTCAGCAGCCGTTTCCTACGATCCAGCCATTCCCTATGAAACACCAATCAGAAGTGACTTTGTTCAATGGAGCCTAATTGCAGAAAACCATTCCAAAGAAAAACAAAATAACCAACCTAAGAGATTGCCAAAACTCAACCTAGACGATTAACTGAAGATACCCATGATTATGTTATTGTCAAAGAAACTATAAATAACCAAGTCCAGGAACTATAGAAGTGGTTTCATCATTCATGCTACGAAGAAAGGTTAAATGTACAGGATTGCAGCACATTACGGCTGCGGAAATTCCACCAACATAAGTTAACAACTTGATTCCTAATATCCATATCAATTTCGAAACCAAACCGATACAGCTACTACATCAAACAAAGCAATTGGAAAAATGGGGACATAATTTACCCCCACGATTTAGAGACATTATAAGAAGCTTTAATCTTTAGGATCATTTTTCAGCAACTAATTTACAAACAAAGCATTTATACAAGGAATTACAGACTTCGAATGGGAGACAATAGAACAGAGACATGTTTACCACTTCAAATACAGGGAAGGGAGAGGATGAGCGCTTGAGATTCATAGTTAGTAAATACTCCGTTTAATACACATATTTGTACCCGTACGTATTTATCGGTTTAAAATTTTCGTTTTCGTATTATTGTCAAGAAGTTTTATTTTCTCCATTCATTTGATGGTCTTGTACTATACACGTACAAAACCTGTATACCATGTTTAATATCCGTATTTAATGAATTAAATTCTTAACTTTACTATTATTTATATATTTATTAATTTTTAAAATAATTAAATTTATATATTTATAATTATTAACGTACTATTAAACGTAACATTATCATAGAGACAAACTAAAATATCCGTGCGTATTTTATACATTACTTTCCCGTTCCGTATTTTACTAACTATGTCTATAGATGGAAAAATATCCATAATTAACTTCTGCTATACATTAAGGTCATCATCCTATTTAGTGGAATAATGAATAAGAACCATTAAGTGAAGCGAAATTAATCTAATGATCCGTATTCCATAGTCTCAGAAGGATAAAATTGAAAAAAATTGTAGGAATGGGGATTAATTTGTAAAACCTTTCCACATAGATATAGAGCAGGTAGGGTTTGGATATCCGAGGATGGAATGGTGTAGGCAAATTAGCTCCAAACTCATCCCATTGCCATTCCTACGGTTACTATAAATCAAGTCTAACTGTGATAATTGGGAGTTCCTTCCTAGGCGAGCTGGAAGCCATTTTAGGGATGACAGCAAAACCCTAACTCACGGGTACCCTACCCGACCCAACCCAATCTGGTCAATCCTGGTAAAACCCGTTTTGATGGGTTTCGGGTTTAAACCCGATACACTATTTATCGAATTGAGTTTGGTTTAGGGATACCCAACCGATGGATACCTGCCCAAACTTATTACGTCGCCCTACTTTCCTCAAACCCTACCCTAATTATAATTTCCCCCAATCTAACTATCCCCAAATCCTACCCTACTTTCATTTCTTACGAGGGTAATGTTTCATTTTTCCCAAAAGAAGTAGGAGGGATAAATTAATAATTGAAGTTGGACACACAATGTTTGTTGGTTTGCTGCTCAATCAAAAACAAAAAGGAATGAACGAAAAACAAAGAATTGTGTGCTTTCATTTAGTGTAATTGTGATTTGTTTGAATTTTCTAGACTAGTATTTTATGTATGGATAATATTTATGGGAAAATTGATGTTTGACTGTTATTTTGATAGAAACTTGTTATTGTAAATTTTTGGGTAATGACTATATATTAGCCAAACTTTTTTCGGGTTCTTTTTTATTAGCCAAACCTATCGAAATACTAAGAATTAGCCAAATGTCAACTTCCATTTATAAATTTTGTTAGTAAAATTGACTTGGCGACATGATACTGACTTGGAAGAGACACATGAAGGTCAACATTCCAAAATTTTAGTATTTTAACTAAGAAAGGAGTTACAAAATTATTAACGATAACATAAAAATGACTAATATTTTGATGCATTACAAAATATTTGGCTAATTAATAGCATTTTAATAGGTTTGGATAATATAAAAGAATCTAAAAAAAATTTGGATAAAAAATAGACATTACCCTAAATTTTTTACCACAAAATCCCACAGGTACCCATGAACCCGCGGATACCCAACGAGTTGGGTTGGGTTTGAGTTTTTCAAACCCAATGAGTTTTACCCCAAGTTCTTTTGACGAATAAACCCATGGATTTGGATTTTCCAATATTCAACCCAACCCGACTCATTGCCATCCCTGGTTTGGACTTTGTATAATTGTATCACAAAAAGCAGAGCGACAATTAATAGGATTGCAATATTCATAATCAGTGCCTGAGCTAGGAATCTTATGGCTTACTTTGAATTGTGATAACTGGAGGGGGCTAAGTGCTTAGCGACTAGTCTATTTTTTAAATTTGTTGATTTAGTGGAAAAAAATGGATACATGAATTCTTGTTGTTGATTTAGTGGTGAAGGTTTGAAAACCGCGACGAGAGCCATTGGCAATATGTGAATGCAAGCGGCAATGAGAACTCAGGATAACGGTACCGTCAGACCAAGGGATAAACTGTTCGATTTCCTCTATACGCTACAGCACACCAGCCAAAGAGCTGGCTATTATTACTTGACTTACCATTTTATCCGCATTGTTAGCTCCTAATCACGTCAGCGTGGAAATTAACTCAACGTTCAAGATTATGCTAACATTTGGAACAAATCAAGAAAAGTGAAGGACTATAAAATCACCACAGGATCAAGTTGTATTTCATCAAACACACATTAACACAACAACACATTCCACTGGAAATACTCAAATCACTAGATTACTGTAATGGCTTCATCGGTAGCTGGGAACAAGCTGATGTTGATAGTGGTGTTGCTGTTGGGGATCTATGCCTGTGGAGCCTTCTCTGCGAGATCGCCGTCCCCTCATCGAGTTACTAGCATTGAAGAAAGGTTCGAAGCGTGGATTGCTGAGCAAGGACGAGTTTATGCAGACGCCGGAGAGAAGGCACGGCGCTTCAGCATCTTCAAAAAGAATGTGGCCTTCATTAACCACTCCAACAAGGTTGGGAGCAAGACTTACAAGCTAGCCATCAATCAATATGCTGACTTGACCAACAAGGAATTCAGGGCTGCGAAAACCGGGTTCAGGAAACCTGCGAATCTCGTTAACTCCGGATCTTCCTCATTCAGATATGGAAATGCGAGCTCAGTGCCCGACACCATGGATTGGAGAACCAACGGAGCTGTGAATCCAATCAAAGATCAAGGCCAATGCGGTAAGCCTCAGTGGAAACATAAAGTTAAACCTTTTTTCCTTCCATCAAAGGTCACGTTTTTCTTATGAATTTTATGGGCTCCAAACACGACTTGTAGGAGGGTGCTGGGCATTCTCGGCAGTTGCAGCAGTGGAAGGAATCACAAAGATCTCAACGGGGAAGTTAGTATCTCTATCAGAGCAAGAATTGATTGATTGTGACACAGCCGGTAACGACCAAGGCTGCAATGGAGGACTCATGGATGGTGCTTTTCAATTTGTGAAAGCCAAGGGACTCACCACCGAATCAAACTACCCTTACACAGCAGCGGATGGAACTTGCAGCACAACCAAGACAACCTCTCCTGCAACCAAGATCAGTGGCTACGAAGATGTGCCTGCCAATGACGAGCAGGCATTGCTTAATGCCGTGGCAAACCAACCTATCTCTGTCGCAATCGATGCCAGTGGCTCTGCCTTCCAGTTCTACTCGAGTGGAGTGTTCACCGGAGACTGTGGAACCAATTTGGATCATGGTGTTGCTGTTGTTGGGTATGGTGCAAGTGATGATGGTACCAAGTACTGGCTGGTGAGGAATTCATGGGGCACTAGCTGGGGAGATCAGGGATATATCAAAATGCAACGAAATGTTGCTGCCAAAGAAGGTCTCTGCGGTATTGCTATGTCAGCTTCCTTTCCAACCGCATAAAGCCTAGGGAAAAACTAGCTGAAGAATTTGCATTGCTGCAAACTAAGAAATTGTGTATACATATATATATGCACTGTTACTTGTCTTCCAGTTAAATTCTGCTGTCTTACTGTATCCTTGATGCAATTATATTATGGATTTGTATATGCTGTTGCTGCAATGTTGTGTGATGGTCCATGTTTCATACAAGAACTTGATATTAACCCTTCAATCTTTCCTCATATTTAGATCGATGACATGGTTTTTTGCTGATCACCATCTGTGGGAAATATAATTATTTGCAGTTTTTGGTTATTTCGTATTAGTGTCGGTTTTAATGATTGGGGGATTATTTGGGTAACAGGGAGTCTATTGTTACGTTTTATTATTTGGGTAGCAGATAGGAATTAGACAGGCTATATAATCTGTAGTAGTGGTCTTATATTTCATTAAGCAATTACAGAACTAAAACCTAAATCCCTATCCCACTCTTTTCCCTCTCTCTAGCGCCGACCCCCTCCCTCTCTCTTCTTCTCTAAAGCTGCGGCAGCAGCACCTCCTTTTCCCTCTCTTCTTGTTCTAAAATCATCAATTCTAATCCCTAGTTAGATCAATCCCTAATTGATCTAGCTAATTTCTCAATCCCTAATCTTGTGAGAAACCTTGTTTCTCACATATGGTATCAGAGCATGGTTCGAGAGTGAGTTCTTGAACTCTTGAACCAGGGCAAACAACAATGGTGTCGACGAAATCCATGAAGGCAGCGGAGAAGGCGGCTCAGGCAGCCGGAAGAAACACCGAGGCAGGTGATGTTGATCTCGACGGGGTGGTGATGGAGGACGTCACCGAGCTGGAGGCGGTGAAACTGGTGGTGCACGAGCACTCTGATGCTCTGGCTCGGCTCGAGGAAGGCCTGGCGAGGGTGCAGGCTGATGCGAAGGCAGATGCTGATGATTTGCGACAAAGGCTGGAGGACCTGATGCGGGCGATTGGCTCGCTGCAGGCAAAGGGAGGCGGATCGGGGGGAGCGCCGTTCCCGGCGGAGTCGGCGACCGAAGGAGGCGGCGCGCCAGGGGAGGCGGAGACGGCGGCGACCGCGGCTGGCGGGGCGGCGGTCGGCGAGGCCACGGCGGCGACGGCGCTGGCGGCGCAGGTGGGCGCAGCTCACTCGATGGCCGGCGGCGGGGCTAGCGCGGCGAGGACAGCGGCGGCTCAAGCCGAGACGCCGATCGGGGCGGCCGAAGGGAGCAGGGCGGTGGGCACTGGGCCGGGCCGAGTTGATCGGACTGCAGTAGGGTTGGGCTCGGGTCTGTTACCGACGCCTACGGCCCAAGAGATTGCGGCCCGGAAGGGAAAGGCCAAGATGGCCGGGTATGACACAGATGGGCTGCCCTTGGGTAATGGGTCGGGACCGTTGGGCCACTACACGAAGGTCCATAACGGGCTGGGCTGGTTGGATCTGGAAGATGGGCCCGAGTACGACAAACTGAGCCTGGCAGATCAGCAGGCCCAGTGGGCCGAACCGGAACTGGACCAGAGAGGGTCGGGTGGGCCGAGGAGGCCCGGGGAGCAGATGGGGCATGGAGGGTCGGCTCCAAGGGGGCGGACCGCATCTGATCAAGCTAGGATCGGGCGGACCGACACGGATCGGACCGAGTTGAGACGAACCAGACCGGGTCGGAACGGAACGGGTCGACCGGAGGTGGGTCGGAACGGAACGGGTCGACCGGAGGTGGGTCGAACCGGGCATCGACCGAGCCCAACTTCGCAGCCGATCAGGAGGGTGGACAGCAGGAGACCAGTAGGTTGGGAGGGACCTGTCGAGGCACCTCACGCCCCGGGAGGGTACCCGATCCAACCGGGGAGCTACCCAGGTGACTATGGGCCAGGAAACCCCAGCCAGATGCATGGCGCTCCATTTGGGCAGCCGTGGAGGACCCCAGGTAATGACAGGTATGAGTCTCACTATATGAACTGTGAAGGTATGGATGGAGTGGTTTTTCGAGCTAAGCCTCCTACCATTGAGTTTCCAAAATTCAATGGGCAAGAGGATGCAGGCCTTTGGTTGTATGCAGTTGAGAGGTGGTTTAAGAACCACCCCATTCCGGAGGAGAGAAAGGCCTATCTAGCATCGTTCTATTTGGAGGGAGACGCGCTCCAGTGGTGGGAGTGGATGGAGAGATCCTACGCAGCTGCAGCGACCTTGATTACTTGGCCTATGTTTCAGGAGGAGCTCCACTATCAGTTTGGAAAGTCTGACGGGTGGGCTCCTGAGCAGTTGGCAAAGCTGAAGCAGACCGGCACGGTGGCTGAATACCGTGCAGAGTTCTTCAAGTTGGGGAACCAGTGCAAAGGTGTCTCGGAGGACACCTTGGTGGGGCTGTGCATGGGAGGTCTCAAGCCTGAGATAGCAGCGGCCGTCAGGGTGTTCGAGCCCGATTCCTTGAAAACTGCTTTCCGTCTTGCAGGTCATAAGGAGGAAGAACTGGCTAGCTGGAGGAGCACCATTGGCCGCTTCTCAAAGCCAGGTGGAGGAGGAGGAAGTAGCGGGAGCAGTGGCGGAACCGGAGGGGCGCCAGGAGGAGGCTCGACTGGGGCTAACGTGAGTAGTGGAGGTTCGGCTAAGGTGGCCAGGCTGGGATCGCGGGCCATACCGAAGGGGTTCGTGCGATTGACTCTGGCGGAGATTGAGCAGAAAAGGCGGGAAGGCAAGTGCTTCAACTGTGATGGCCGGTTCACCATCGGGCATCAATGCCTGAAGCCGGATTTGATGATGTTAGTCGGACGCTGGGAAGATGAAGCAGAAGATGAGCTCGAGGACGACGGAAATGGCGAGGGAGAGGCCTAGTGAGCTAGAGGAACAACCTTGGGGACAAGGTTGTTTTTCGAAGGAAGCGGGGATGTGGGAAACATAATTATTTGCAGTTTTTGGTTATTTCGTATTAGTGTCGGTTTTAATGATTGGGGGATTATTTGGGTAATTGGGGAATAAACAGGGAGTCTATTGTTACGTTTTATTATTTGGGTAGCAGATAGGAATTAGACAGGCTATATAATCTGTAGTAGTGGTCTTATTTTTCATTAAGCAATTACAGAACTAAAACCTAAATCCCTATCCCACTCTTTTCCCTCTCTCTAGCGCCGACCCCCTCCCTCTCTCTTCTTCTCTAAAGCTGCGGCAGCAGCACCTCCTTTTCCCTCTCTTCTTGTTCTAAAATCATCAATTCTAATCCCTAGTTAGATCAATCCCTAATTAATCTAGCTAATTTCCCAATCCCTAATCTTGTGAGAAACAAGGTTTCTCACACCATCAACCACAAGGTTGTTAACTACAAGATTGCGTTTAAACAATACTAGACAATATCATAATTGCAGAACTGCAAATGAAAGAACACGAAGCATAAGGGTTGGAGGCAAAAAGTCACCAACTGGATGAAGCAGCGAATATATTTATACACTCACGGTACCATTTTTACAAGCTTAAGACAATTTATCCGCAGAGTTGAATGAACACAAAAACAGGCAGACAGATTTTCACAACTACAGACCAATCACGAAGGATAAAAAAGACACAACTTCTGGAATGGGGTCCAAAAAATCATCGCTAAATGTGATGACTAACATATAGTACAACCGACAGTATACATGAATCGACACGTAGTAAAACATGAAGATATTAAGCACCACTCTTGTTAGTCCAAGGCTTGAGTACTCCCACTACGGTGATGGCAACGATGACGAGAAGGATTATGATGGCAATGCACATCCATTTTCGAGAGCTCTTCTGGTACGACTTTGCCCTTTGGAGGGCAGTATTCCCTGACTGTACATGATCTACTGCAGTCGATACCTGAAAGGCAGAAGTTTGGAAAAAAGAAACACAGTTTCAGGGATTTTTCTAGAAACCCATATTTCACTTGGAAGAAATTGTTCAGGAAAGGAAGTTCTCACTTACATGTGATTCTATGTTGTCGAGCAAATCGCCCTGTGCATCCACCAACACTGCCATATCTAAGAAAATCTGCAAATGAAGATGACAAGTGGATTCAGATAAAACAGCTCGAACCTAGCCACTTGACCGCAGTCTAATTATAGTACTAATTCTTATATTTGTCGTGTTAAGAACTGCTATGAGCTTTATCTCACATTTCATCTTTCAATACAGAATATTCTCAAGCATATATAATTCCTTGAAACATTATTTTCACTAGTAAATGGAGTGACATGAGATAATAGTAATAGTTATATACCTGTTGTAGTTCCAATAGCTTTTTCTCAAGCTCTCTGACCGCATCATGACGCTCTTGAATTTCTGCCAGGGTATCCATTACCTATTCATGCAAAACGTCCACAAAAGAGAGAGGATTTAGCATGAAATCATCACAGATTGGAAACAATTTACCGTCTTGTAACTTTTTCTAACAAATTCCCAGGAAAAGAAAAGCTGGAAATATTAACAAACCTGCCCACGCCCTTGTTCATGAATAGCTTTCTGGAAAATCTGTTCACTATCTCCCGTCTCAATCAATTGGTCAATTGTCTGAAAATGGTTGAATTGTTAGATAATGCACATAAGTTGAGAATTACTGCTCGAGTATTTATAATCATGAAAAGATCTACCTCTTCATCTGCTCGTGTACCGGTCACTGCAAATCAAAATGGAAGAAATGTAAGTACCATATATGCAAGATCCAAAAGTCAATGTCGAAAACAAATCAAAGAATGCAGGAAGATAAGATCTGGTAAGGGGAATACCTGTGAATACGCGTCTCTCCACAACTTCACGATACTCTTGCTGGATCATTTCTCTTAGAGACTGCAACATTAGCATGACAGTATTGCTGTGAACAAGAGTACAGGGTAGCTGGGTAGGGTACAAATAAATATAAATACATGTGCTGCTGCTGGATTTACCTGAAATTCAGCCATCTTGTCTTTAAACTTTTTCTTCAATGAACTGCATGATATGTTGCTAAATGCTATTAGTTCTTGTGGTTTGCTGAATACTACCACATGCAAGTACTGTACAAATTTTCTTAGAAAAGAGGCTCATGCATAAGACCATAGGAGAAATACTATCACAGGAATTGTCAAATGTAAAACGTCAATATAACTAGTCTCATGGAAACATTAGGAAATATTTGACACTAGAGTGTTCAATATAAATTACACTGTTGTTGAAGTTCTTGATCGATCAACAGCAGTTCCTTTCCCGCATGATGGCTTTTGCCGATTTGCTAAATTCTGGATGAACACAAAGTAAGATCGTAAATCAATCTAAGGGAACCAGATACATTCCGCATTAATTTTCTCTTACCTCCTTGTCAAGTGCTTCAATTTTTGCTTTAGTCAATCGAGCAATCTTTCCAACTTCATCAACATCTTTCTCCATTCGCTGCTTGATAGCTATAAATGAAAGCAAGTAAACGTCAAGCTACAGGTACATGGATTAGATTTCAATATTGATTTGATTGCAGAAAATAAAATAAAAATGAAAGAGTGATGAGCCAAGGTGCTCAGACCCAAACCAAAGAAAATATGAGCTCAGGAGTTCAGAACTCTAGTAAAAGTTATTAATGAATTAGGAAAACCAAAGGAAATATGAGCTCAGGAGTTCAGAGCTCTAGTAAAAGTTATTAATGAATTAGGAATGCGGTAAAAGCTCATACTGAAGCCATTATAACGGCTTTTAGGGATCTCGTAACAGTAGTGAGGCCAGGATCTAACTAGCCACTTCAGATTGCATTCACCTGATACTAAGTCGGTGTTTACGAAATCGTTCTAATGACTATAAACTTGTAGAGACCAACTTTTTGCCGATTCTCTAGTCATTTCCAACTAAAGTTCGGGCCAGGATCTAACTAGCCACTTCAGATTGCATTCACCTGATACTAAGTCGGTGTTTACGAAATCGTTCTAATGACTATAAACTTGTAGAGACCAACTTTTTGCCGATTCTCTAGTCATTTCCAACTAAAGTTCGGGCGTGGAAGGAAATGGATAAGTCCAAAGTAGAGTACTTGGTATGTTCGCCGTGATACTTAAATTGACTGTGTATAAGAGAAACAAAGGTCCAACGAATGATGAAGTAATTACCTTTCATGGAAGGAGCCTTAGTCACAGCCTTGGACTCCTCATGTGCATCCTGCAAAAGGAATTAAAATGACAATAATCATTAAAAATGCACAACTGAAAAGGTTGCCACAATATTACAAGTGAGCCACAAGGTCTTGCCATTCGTGCAAACAGTTGAGGATCAGATGTATGTATAAACCAGATATGACAAGGAACATTGGATCAAAATCTCACATGATTTATTTTGGCTCTATTTTTTTACTATACTGCTCAGCAAAAGAAACTGATTACTGTGAATGAATCTGAAGTATCATTCAAAGTGAGCTGACGGCAGGCAGTTCAACTTTACTCATCCAGGGTAAGTAAGGGGCTAAGAATTTTTCAGAACAAAGTGGTAGGCAGCACCTACTTGACAAACAGACACACTAACTAAAAAATATACCAGACCGTAAAGAGTAAAGACCAGTAAGCTTGATCTACAACACCAACCAGATGATAAGGGGGGGAGCTCAAACCTGGAGCTTTCTAAGTAGCTTGTCGAGCTTTTCACATAGTTTCTCGATCTCTTGAACCTGGGAAATGAAGAACGGAAACTATATTACACCTAAAACCTATATACATCACAAAAGGTTATTTGCTACCAGGGACACCATGGGCATCCAGTAAAAAGAATGAAGACCCAAATCACCTTTTTAAAGAAATTCTCTAATCCCAATTCCCCAGAGGTCATTCCCATCTCAATATCAGTAGGTCTGGAACCCTGATCCCGAGGGATTTCAAATGATTCCTGCACAAGTCAAAACAAGGGGTCTCAGCATATCTCTAACCTAAAATTAATAAATCAAAATAATAAACGAGGCAACAATAATATAACAGACGGACAGTGAGAAACGTCAACAGCCAACATTAATAAGTATACTGATTTGCTATTCAAACATCTAGTATGGAACTTATCATGAATGCGGAACACAGCTGAAATGCGGCTGCAAAAGCATACACTACACTAGTATGCAAACACTGGATTATGGATAATAATTAATCCGGTACCTCTCACTAAGTTTCACGAGCACACTACACCAGACAATGCAGATAACTGAGTTTCCATAGGATTCTATAGAGTACTTCTAAAAAATAAAACATTCAGATGGGAGTTCAATCAATTCACAGGAGAGCCTCGGGCTCCCGAACGTTTTGAGCTCGATCCATATGTTTCCAGGTATATTCTGAATGTTCCAAGATCCTACTGATCAAATTCCCCTGTCCTGCCATTTCGCACCAACCAAGGATTGGAAGGGTGGGATATAAAATCTTGACCCAACGATAAAAACATCAAAACCCGTCGTCAGCAACAACGTCAGATCGTGAATCAGAGAATGCCGGCGGACAAAAAAAGAACTCCAGAGCCATACAAACAACGAGATCAAGACAAAACAACATTCGATAAAACGCCAACCAACCACGAACCCACCAACAAAGATAAAATGTTTTAACTCGATCGAAAGTTGCAAACTTTATTACCGTTAAGAGGTCGTTCATCGTGGCAGAAGAAAAGGGAATTAATGAATGAGCTCAAACAGACCGCCTTAATGACTCTCTCTGTAGTCAAGTCTCTGCCGTCAGCAAGAAATACCACCCAGCTGGAAGAGCGCCCAGGAAGAAGAAGAACCAACTGATGATGTGGTGGGTTTTTCTATTTTCTCCAACGTTAAATTGGGCAGGAGGAAAAGGGGAAAGGGACCTGGCTTCCCTTCGACAGAAGAAAAGGGGGGAATATGAGGGGAAACCAGGCCTCCAATTGGGGATTTAGGGTTCTAAAACTTACTTTTTTCTCAGAGCACGATATCGATCGATGGTGAGAGACAGATAGATAGGCCAATAATATTGAACCTTGCCGTTTTTTCCGTGTTGAAAACTACGGGACAGAGAGAGAGAGAGAGACAGCGGCGTGCCAGCTCGGTTCGAATTGGGGACAGCGGTTTGTCTGCAAAACGGCGCTGGAAATTATAAGTAAGGATACTGTACAAATTTAGTACCTTGTTTTTAATATTTATTCAAGCTTCATCTTACAGATTTATGATGCTAACATTCCAGTCCTTCTTGGCGATTCTTTCCAAAAGAAAATTTGTTGGTGTTATCGGACCTGGTTAAGAACATGACAAGTCAATCAGTATAATGGCTAAATTGCAAGTTTGGTCACTTGAATTACTAGTAAAGTTCACGTAAGTCATTAGAATTATTTTATTTCATTTGTAGTCACTTAAAATGGGTACATAGTCCAATTTTGGTCACTCTCCATTAACCTACGTCAGACTCCGGTAACGGAGGCCGTTAAGTGATTACGTGGATAACAAAAAATCTCAGTCAGCTTATTTAACCCTAAAAATCGACAACCCGACCCGCCACATCAGATTTGGCGCCATGTCACCCTTCCCTACCCAACCCACAAACCAACCCCAGACCCAACCCAAGACCCACCCAACCCCGCTTGATATTTTTTTATAAGTCCACCCTTCTAAATGAAGGCTTCCATCTTCCTAACCATATGTTCCCTTCCTCTAATTAAATATGTCCGAGAATCGCCCCCTCCCCATCCATTTGTTCCCTTCTTCATTCTGCATTTTGTTTCTCTCACTTCCCCTATGCCAATGACGACACCCTTTTGTCACTATGGAGAGCCAACATATCTGAAGACGAGTTGGAATGATGCTAATCCAAGGAGAAGGTTCTATGGGTGCAGCAGATATGGGGTAAGATTTCATCCACCTTTGTTTCATTTTTACTGTTCCCATTCGACTATTATTTTGCCTTTGTCCATCTATTTTTTTGTGCGCGATTTTGTGTAGTCAAATGGAGCATGTAACTACTTCAGATGGCTTGACCCAACCCTTGATGAGCGTATGAGAAATGTGGTGCTGAACTTTCATCGTCGAATTCGGGAGCTAGAGAAGAGGCAAAACATGAAAGTGTCCAAGTTTGATCGGAAAATGGTGTCGGTCATCATTTTAGGAGCTATTGTATTCTCTTTGTTTTGGACAGGAAAGTGATAAGTCGTCTGTGTAGTTGTAGCTGATGTAATCTGTTGAAGTGTAGCTGTTGAAATCAAGTTTATGTTTAGTGGTTGACAGTGTGCAGCCCTAGTATTATCCATTTCACGATTGGCCACTTGAATTGCAAAGTTGTTTCATGTTTGGTCACTTGAATTACAATGTGGTCTCATGTTTGGTCACTTGAATTGCAAAGTCGTTTTGTGTTTGGTCACTTGAATTGCCAAGTGGTTTCATGTTTGTTCACTTGAATTACAAAGTGTTTTCATGAATGGTCACTCTCATAGATGCAGCTCATTTGGAACAAACAACAAGTATTTCTACCATACGACAAAACAAAAGACTAATAAACCTAATAGTCATTCGTGAAACTTAGGACACTACAAGATCCAAATGATAATTACAGCCTCGAGGCCAATGTTTGTCCAAAAGAAAGTGAGACCATGACCTAATACGATATCTACCACGACAAAACAAACATCAACTTCTACTAGTTTGTGAAGATATCAAATCTACATTAACTAGCCATTGGATAAGAGGCTTCAAAATAGTAATTATCATTTGGACCTAAACTACAACTAAGCTTCACATATTCTCTTGAGTCACTTGGCTTGCATTCTGTGATCCTCCACATACTTGGCTGAGTTGTTGTGATGGCTAATTTCCTGGCCTCCTAGTAGTTCCCTGCAAAGTTAAAGCAGCATTAGAAGCTTGTAGGAAGTCATTAGATAACAAAATTGTACAAGTGAATGGATCAATACAACTGGCATGAGCTGGATAATGTTGGGCTGACTCAATGGCAATGAAGCAGTCGCTTTTGCAGCCCTCTGTTGTCGCCTTTGTAGGGCTGCCAACCTGTTTTTTCCTGCTATTTCCAAGTGTTTAGCCCTTTTAGCTTCTTCCTTAGCCTTTTTCCTTGCCTCCACTTGTTTCTTCCTTTCTTCATCATGGAATTTTTGGTGTGACCAACAACCCCACATGTAGTACACGCGTACTTCTTTCCTTCCAACTTTAATATTCCCTTGCACCCTTCTTCTATTTTTCTTCCCATTTTCATCCTCATTAAGTCCCTTTCTTCGCTAGTTTTTAGATCTGCCCCTCTTTTTTTAGTCTGCCATTGGAGGACTCCACAATGACCCAACCCAGATTCCGGCCAGTACTCTTTACCATTAGTAGGTGAAATGGACTACTTCTTCCTTGTAGTCTTCCTTGCATATTTGTTTGAGCAGCCCCTTGCTCATATTCTTGTCTGCTTCCATCTTCCTAGCAACTTTCCCACCTAGAAACTTAGCAGTTGCAAACTTCACCTTGAAAGTCCTCTGACAATCTTTAGAATGTTGTAGCTTGCACTTCTTGATTTGGACTACATTCGTAAGACTCATCCTCGAGACCCATATACACCAATCACATGGATTGGCACAAACTGCTTGCAACCTCTTTTTGTCGTTCTTCTTGAAATGAATATGGCGCTTTTCCACGAAGGCATATTGTTTTATGGCTTCTTTCAACAAGTCAAATTTGCCAAAAATTTTAGAAATAGTGAAGGTAGGGCTCTTAATGTCTCTCCCAGCTCGAAACTCTTGCATCTCATGGTTGTCATCATCTTCATCTGAGCTGTAAATGGTCCTTCGATCATCCGAGTCGACATCTATGATAGTCTGCCTGCCCTTTGAAGATTCACCTTCTTCGCTGAAAAAATCAGCTTCAACATCTGCAGCTAAATTCTTCTCAAACTGCAGATTGTCACCAAAACTAAAATCCTCTTCTTCACTAGCCTTATAGTCACTATCATCTTCTTCATCATAGTCACTATCAGCTTCTTCAGTCTTTTTCCCCTTGGTGACAACTCCACCTTCTTCCCCATCACTCTCCGTGAACTCGACAATGTCTTCCTCAGAGATGGCATATAATTCGATGACCCTCGCTTCTTCATTTGTAAATGTTGCCATGGTGAGTATGTCTTCATCTGAAGTAATTCTGACATTGCATAAGTTGAAGGAGAGCTCCAGAAGAACTTCGGCTGCTCAATCCTCCCACCACATGCCTTGTATATGTCTGGCAGATCGAGTAACGATAGCTCGTCGATATCCGCATAGTCCCAGTAGACTGTGGACTTCTCGTTGAGGAAATGTTTGCCACCCTTCCTCTTCAATGCTTCTGATAAGTGAACTTGAAATGTAAACTCTCCACTTGAAAAACCCGTTGCAAAGGAAAGTGAGAATGGGTGATTAAAAGGCCAACCAGCAGTAAGGGGCAAAGAAACTCGTCCTTTTCATGCCACCAACTTCTATTAAAAGCATGAAAATGACATATCAACATTGAAAGCTGCTGGTTTTGGTATTTCCCACAAGAACCCTAATTTTCAATTCGAAAATAACAACCAAGTGTTGTATTTTACTCCAATAAAGTCTAGTTATGAAAGGGACAAGAAAAACTGCTCTCTACCATTATGAAAAGTGCAAAAATGATAGGGCACTCACTATATTTCGGTTATGAGAGCATTTGGTGGACCCCCCATGGTTCTGTCGTGTAAGGTGTGAGCCAGAAACAGACAATAAGGAATCTACCATTAGTATAAACAAAGGTAAAAGGAAACCCAAAAGATTCCCCAGGACAACGACAAGTCCTACTCTTTTCAGTATCTCTAGATAAAGGCCAGAACAACCAAATGCATGTGAAGCCTCACCTTTACAACCGGAGAGAAGAGGCTTGCAGCTTTGAGGAAGGGGATTTTTTTTGTGTCTCCATCGTCAACCCACCACCAGAGGAAAGACGAGCTCCGAATTATGGTTTTTGCATTGGGTTGCAATAGAGGAAGAAGAAGGGGCGCGCGATGTAGAAGGATGGGAGACTATAAGAAAGCAGAATTAGGTGAAGGGATTTAAGTCGGCGATGTGGCGGCCTTCATCCCTCCTTTGTCGGTGATAAAATCTCGAGCAGAGTGGGTGAGGAGAGACGCAGGAGGAAGAGGAAACGATGGAAAATGGAAACTGACCTACCCGTTCATGTTTCCAATTTGATTTTTAGATTTAGGGATCAGGGGGGTCTTGGGTTAGGTCTCGGGTTGGTTTGTGGGCTGGGTAGGGAAGGGTGACATGGCGGGAAAATCTGACATGGCAGGTCGGGTCGTCGATTTTTAGGGTTAAAATAAGCTGACTGAGATTTTTTGTTAGCCACGTCATCACTTAATGGCTTCCGTTAACAGAGTCTGGTGGAGGTTAATGGAGAGTGACCGAAATTGGACTGTGTACCCAATTTAAGTGACTACGAATGGAATAAAGTAATTCTAGTGGCTAAGGTGAACTTTACTAGTAATTCAAGTGACCAAATTTGCAATTTAGCCTCAGTATAATGTTTTGTCCTAGGTTTCTTTACATAGTAGCCCTACAAAACATTAATGAATGGCTGAGATTGAGGGGGAAAAGATCTAATGACCATCTTTACAAGAGGTAAGGAGGAAAAGTAGAAAATAGGAGGGGCTGATCAGATTTTGAGGTAGCCCCTAGATTTTGGGGGCTAGCGCGAATTTCTAGGAAGTTGTTAAAGAAATTTTCAAATCTCACACGAAAATTAAATGAGTCTTAACCAAGTTTGTCAAACCGGTTTATAACGGTATGTCAGTTTTGTATATGAAATGGCCTGGTCGTGGTACGACCGGTATGTGCCTGTTTATGCTGGTTTAAATAATTAAGTAGGACAATTAAGCTTATACAAACAAAATAAATGAGAATAAGAAAGGAAATATAAGAATTTGATGGAGAGGTTTTCTGTTAAGAAAGTCTGGGAAGTTATTAGGCACAAACAAATGGAGTAAGTTGGGTTGGGCATCTCTTTGCACTCCAAGAGAAAAATTAATTGTCAAGTTAATCACTCGTGATAGGATAACAAATCTTGACAAGATCCAGACCTGGAAACCATTAGGAGTGAATGTTTGTCCACTGTGTAAGGTCTCCCCTAAGTCTAGGGACTATCTCTTTCTGTCTGTTCTTATACAAGAACAATCTGGTTGGCTGAATTTCGATCAAATGCTCTGCTAGGGGGAACTTGGGAGGCATCGTTGAGTTGGCTATAAGGCATTTGGTACCTGATACTCCTATTACGCAGCGTGGCAGGTTGGCTTGGTTAATGTTGCTTAGTGACCCTGGCAAGAACGATGTCGCAGACTGTATGCTTATACAACCTTGTTTGCAATAAGTTATTCAGAAACTGCAGAGCCTCCTCAGAGTCATGCTGTGTAGTTTTCCAAATGTAGCATATGTTATTACTGATAGTGATATAGATTGTATGTCTCACTAGTTCGCAAATGAATAAATGAAAGAGGCGACTTGTGATTGTGAAACAGATCTCGGATTTTTTTTATCAATCTCAGTTCAAACGACGTAGTATCAAGCAAAAAAAAATTAACATTCCGGTTTGACCAATGGTATTTCTGGAATTAATCGGTTTTGACCAAGATTAATCGATTTTGACTATATCCTCATGTTGGTGGTATTCCAGCCGGTTTCACAACCAGAACTGGTTGAACCAGGTTCAACCGGTCGGCACATCACTAGCATGACAACCATGGTCTTAACTTATTTGTTTTATAGCAGATTTCATAAACTTTTGCATAGAAAAATCAGATTTTTTGTGCTCTACAAGTTTATATCAATTTTGATATCTTTTGAAGCTAAATTTTTTAAGTCATTATATCACGATATTATCACTAATAGTGGTATGATATCATAGTAGTATGATACTGATAAGATAGTGGTATAATGTTGGCATGATATTCTTATGATAGTAAATTAGTGATATGATGTCTTATGTTTGACAAAATAATTTGAGTAAATACTAATTATTAGCCAAACCTTTTCCGCACTCTTTTCTAAGTTGAAATACTAAAGTTTGGAATGTTGACCTTCATGTGTCTCTTCCAAGTCTGTATCATGTTGTCAAATCAATATTACTAACAAAATTATTAACTGAAAGTTAACATTCAGTTAATTATTAGTAAATCAACAAGTTTGGCTAATAAAAAATGCGAAAAAGGTTTGGCTAATAATTAATATTTACCCAAATAATTTGATGATATCATATCACTTTCACATCATGATAATATAGTGATAATATCATGATATGACAGTGATATGATATCATGATATGACAGTGATATGATGTGAGTATGAGGTCCAAGGTTATCAAACCGGTTTATACCGTTGCTCCGGTTGTGCAAGTGAAATGAAACTACCGGTGGCACAACTTGTTTATGTCGGTTCATACTAGTTTAACAAAATATGTAAAAATGTGAAAAACCATTAACATCAATATTTAAATACAACATTTAACGTCAATAAGTAAACGTTTATACTTGAATCCAACAAATAACATCAATATTTAAATTTTAAATTCATATAAAGTTATAATTTTTTTTATTAATTAAATTCACTAAAACGACTTTATTTTACTTAAAAGTCTTAAATCGATCATGCTAGTAATACCGGTGGTGTTCATGCCTATTTTATGACTGACATCAGCTGAACCAAGTTCAACCAAACGGCATGCCCCCAACATGACAACCATGATGAGTCCAATGTTTGTCAAAACATAACAAAATGGATATTATTGTGTAGGTCTTAATTAACGATGTTGGTATGATAGTGATATGATATTGTATGAAGACTTATGTTTGACAAAACAATTTAATGACATCATATCTCTGTCATATCATGGTATTATTAGTGTCATATTACTGTCATATCATTATGATAATTTCATGATATGACAGTGATATGATGTTGGTATGAGGTTTTATGTTTGACAAAACATAACAACATATATATAAATGTGTTGATCTTAATGAATGCGTCCTCTCTATACAACTTTTTAAAAATTTCGAGTTAAAACGAAGGAGATTGATCATCATACCACTATCATATCATGATTATATGATTAATATGACAGTGATATGGTGTTCGTATGAGGTCTAATGCTTGACAAAACATATAAAATAGATGTCATTTTCGAAAGATTAGATAGTGAGATTAATTCTTATGAGGCCTTATGCTACAAATCTTTTAATTATTGGTCTGCTAGTGAGATTAAACAAGTGTCACTTTGATTAATTATGCGTCAGACAGATTAATTGCTCCTAGCTTTGCCTAAGCATCGCTCAGGCGTTACGAACTCATAATTGTCTGCCTAGGGCCTAGGTGAAGTGTGTTTGTCATTGTCTAGTGCCTAGGCATACGCAAAGTTACACATTCTTGAACCCTGAAAAAATCTTCACAGTTGTGAAAGAAAATATGTTAGGTATTGGAATGGTAGTGGAATGAATTAATAGGATTTCCTTGTGTGCAATGAAACCACAAATGATATGGTCCATTTAGAGATCAATGTCGGTTCAGGTGGATCGGTTTTCCTATATACTATCTTTGAATCACGATTTTAAAGTTGTAGCCATCCCAAAACCAAAAGAGGCGGAGATGAAAAATGTCAAAATGACATACCAAAATCTACCCATGTATCCAACTATGGGATGTGACTGATGATTATTACACTCCTCAATTTGGTCGGAAGATGGTTTCTGCGACAATGGGTACTGTTAGGCTGGTGTCTTTGCTTGTCAGAAAATGGACCATTACTTCGTCAAGGTGCGCGCCATGCTCGATCTCACTAAGCCGTTACGGTCTCAATTATGGCGGCGAATGACTAGACAGGTTTTTTCTGGGTGGCGCTCAAATATGAATACCTCCTAAGCTTCTGCTTTCATTGTGGGAGAGTTTGTCGTTTACAACGGGACTGTACTTTTGAGCCGCCGACTGGTAAAGAAAAGTTTGGCATGCACATGACCACAAAAAATAAAAATATGGGGACCAAGATTTATTCCACGGAGGATGAGCACCAACCCTCGAGAGGGCACCCGCCTTCCGTCTGGGTCAATAAAGACCTGTGAGTGTAGAAAAGGGAGGAAGGTTTACCACCTCACCGCGGGGAGCAGCTGCAGGGTCGTCAATTGGAGGCACAACACAAGGAGGCTAATCATCGCCCATTGGTGATTGGGAAAGAAAATGCCCAGCGCACTAATGAATGCAGCCCATCTATG